CCTGTCTCGCAAGCGCAAGGTCCCAAGTTCAATCCCTAATAAAAAAAAAAAAAAAAAAAAAGAGGAGACTGAGCCCAGCATGGTGGTACACACCTGTAATCTCAGGCCTCCAGGAGGCTGAAGCAGTAGGAACTCCAATTTGAGGCCTGCCTGGGCAATTTGGCAAGAACATATGTCAAAATAAAAAATAAAAAGGGGGACTGGAGATGCAGTGTAGTGTGAAGACGCTGGATTCAATCCCTCAGAGCTGGAAGGAAAAAAAGGAAGAGGGGGCTGGGGCTGAGTGTGGTGATGCGTGATGTGAACCTGTAATCCCAGCTACTTAGAAGGCTGAGCAAGAGGGCTGCAAATGTGAGGCCAGCCCGGGCAACTTAGACCCGGTCTCAAAATTTAAAAAGCATAAACAAATAAATAAATAAGCAAGCAAGCGAGCTGGGACACACCAAGAGACGCCAGGGACCCATGTGCACGGAGGAAAGGCCACGTGAAGACACAGTGAGACGGAGGCCACCTGTAAGCCAAGGAGAGAGGACTCGGGAGAAAGCGACCCTCTTGACCCCTACATCTTGGATTTCCAGCCTTCAGAACTGTGAGGCAATACATGTGTGTTGTTTAATCCGTCCAACTGGTACTTTATTTTGGCAGTCCTAGCAAGCCAGCACACTCAGAGGAGAAGCAGCTGGTCCTTACAACAGGTGGGGGCACTCCCGGTCCTCATCCTTACACCAAGGGGCCGTGCAGCATGAGCACGAGCAGAAGTGGATCAAAGAATACAGAGCCCTCTGTCACCTGAGACCAGGACAACATCTGCTCTCATGGTTACCACTGCCCATGCCCCAGGGAGATTCTTTACATCTCTGGCTCTATGTCCTTAAAACAGCAGATGACCGTGTTCCGTGCCAGAAGGATTTGTAGGCTGTGCCATACCTGACCCATGTCATTTTCTCTCAGACATGGAATACAATAGATTTCTGTATCATGAAGTATCATTTTTGAGTAGTGCTGGATGTCCACTTCTCCCCTTCTTTTGGTGTTTTAATTTATAGTTTCAGAGGCACCCAGAGATTAGTGTGGTATTTTCTCTTTTTTTGGTACCAGGGATCGAACTTGGGACCTTCTGCTTGCGAGGCAGGCACCGGAACCACTGAGCTAAATCCCTGGCCCAAGCATGGTATTTTCCAGAACTACATGTGGTGGCTTGAACAGTGTGATGTCCCCCCACAAAGCCTCATGTACTCCTATGTGAGGCTTCTAGAAAGTGATTGGATTATGGGACTTATAGCTGGCTTGTTATTAGGAGGTAGGGCCTGGCTGGAAGATCTGGGTTACTGGGGGCATAACCCAGAAGGGTTTATCTCCTTCCTGTTTCCCCCCTTTGCTCATCCTACTTCCTGGATGCCATGAGGAAGCAGCTTTCCTCTGCCCAGGCACACCCATGCTGTTCTGCATTGGAGCCAGCCAAGTATGGACTGAAACCTCTACTTGTGGTGAGCCAAAGTAAACCTCTCATCCTTTAAGTTGTGGGGGTCAGGTACTGGGTCTCAGCTATGAGAAAGTAACTAAGACAGATGGTGAATTTTTATGTCAATATGAGTGGGCCAGGGGTGTCTAGATTAAACATGGCTGCTGGGTATGACTGTAAGTGTGTTTCTGAGTGACATCAGCATTTGGATTGGTGGCCTCAGGAAAGGGATTGCTCCTCCCAGTGCAGTAGGGCATTGTTCCATCTTTTGAGTATGCAAAGAGAACAAGAGGTTGAGGAAGAAAGATCTGAGGAATTCATCCATTTTGTTTGTTTGGTTGTTTTGGCTTTTTATACTGGAGATCAAACCCAGGGCCTTCACACTGAGCTTCATCCCACCCACCCTTTGTGACAGGTCTCCTTAAGTCACTAAATTGCCCTGATTGGGCTTGAATTTGCAACCCTCCTGCCTCAGCCTCCCAGAGTGCTGGGATTATAGATGTATGCCCCCATGCCCTGCTACATTATTCCCTTTTTTCCTGCCTCACTGCTAGAGCTAAAACATCTCATCTCATCTTTTCTTGCATTTGGACTGGGACACGAGGCCCCCACATACACACCCTGTGATAGTTTACGATTGTGTCAACTTGAGTAAGAAATGCCTGACTAAATTGGATCAGCATAGTTCTGGGTGTGGCTGAAGGGCTTTACCACCTGGAGTGGGGGTGGTACCACCCAAAAAGGGTTGTAGCTGGGTGGGGTGAAAGAGAAAGTCAGGCTTGCTCCCTGCTGCTGCCATCTGCTTGCCACACCATGGACTGTTTCTCCTCTATGAGGCCCCTCTGCCATGCTGCCCTGCCTTGAAGCCAGCTGACTGTGGACTGAAACCTCTACAAACTGCAGAAATAAACCTTTCCTCCTTTAACTGTGGCTATTGGGTATTTTGCCTTAACAATAAGTAAAGTAACTCAGATAGATTTTGGTACTGGGAGTGGCTCTAGATCAACAGAATTGTAAAGATGAAATTCTTTGATAACTTTAGGGGTTCCTGAAGTTGGCTCTCTAATTTGATGAGAGCTAAAGATGCCATGGTCTCTCCTTCTGAGCGGGGGGGGGGGGGGCATACTGATAGTCCTTGGTCTGAACTGTTTAGAGTAATACCCAGTGTAGATCCATTTGATTATCCTAATTCACCACTTGTGAGATGTAAGGAATTTAGCAACTCTGTTAACACTTTTGTCAGAGTGGGAAATATAATGATGCTGGCTGATTGCCCTAGCATCTCTGGAAAAACTAGTGAAGGAAAACAATGAGCTCAAAACGTCCACAGGAAATCTAAAGTCTTCTAACTGGAAGGACAAATTAATAAAGAAAAATGAGAAGCTCAAAGATAAAAATTCCCAGCTCCAGACACATAAAGAATATAAAAGTTTCAAAGTGTGTCCTGAAAGAGAATCTCTTTTCCTCTAGCCACATGGCTGAAATGGCAGAAACCCAAACACAGGCCCTCATAATTGGACTGGCTGAAATACAGCGTAAGTTTAATGCTCAGCCTCGAAGGGGATGTGAAGTAAAGGTGAGGGCACTGATCGGAAAAGAATGGGATCCAGTAAACTGGGATGGAGACGTTTGGGAGGATCCTGGGAGGCTGCGGATGTTGAGCTCCTAGGCTCTAATGAGATTATTTTGTCCCAGGAAGAGATTTCCCCACCCACAGTGGCAGAGGCACCCCCACGCCCACCCCCTGTGGTGTTGGCCTCTGCTACTGCACCTGAGGAAACTAATCCTGTGCTGACCCGGCATGGCCATGCTGACACTCCCCAGGACCCACCCTCACCACCCACTTTTGCCTCTAGGCCTATAACCAGGCTCAAATCCCAGAAGGCTCCTAAGGGTGAGGTACATAGTGTGACACATGAGAAGGTCCACTATCCTCCCAACAAACTTCTTGGCTTTTCTAATTCCTATAAGCAGAGGCCTGATGAGCAAGTGTGGGAATGGATTTTATGGGTGTGGGATAATGGTGGGTAAAACATACACCCGGGTGAGGCTGAGTTTGTCCTTAGGGGTCCATTAAGCAGAGATCCTGAGTTTAACATTGTAGCTCATGGAATTTTTTTTTTTTTTGGAGCTCATGGAATTTTTTTTTTAAGGTGTTAGTAGTTTATTTGGCTGGTTGGCAGAAGTATGGATCAAAAGATGTCTAATGAGTTAGAGAGGCTTGATATTCCATGGTTTACTGTTGAGGGGATTCAGAGGCTTGGGGAAATGGAAATGCCGGGTGGACTTGTCAAGTTGAACCTAATCCACCACACGGGGATGATGCAGAAAACGTATCCTTCACTAACACCTTGAGAAACAGATTCATGAGGGGAGCACCGGCATCCCTGAAAAGCCCGGTCATTGCTCTTCTCTGTATGCCAGACCTCACAGGGGGGACCATGGTTGCTCAATTGGGGAACTTAAGGGGAATAGGTTTCATGAGATCTCAGAGTGGCAGGGGTCAAGGACAGCACTTAATCACCAAAGGCAAGGTTCAGGTACCTACCATAATGGAGTTCAATGATCAGACTGGTCTGACACGTGTAGATCTATGACATCAGCTGATTAGCCACAGTGTTCCTAAAAGCGAAATAGGAAACCTACACAATTTTTATTACATTTAAATGATAAAAAATTTAAGGGAAAATAAACAGAAACCTATTTCAAATCGTAGTAACAGGGAATCACAGCTCCTCGAGCAGTTCCTGGATCTGAGCCAGTTTACAGACCCAGAACCCATTGAATGAAAGGGAGGCTGGGTCCCTTTGAAGAAGGTGCACCACCAAAAATTTATAAGTCAGCCTTTCTCCCCTCCTTCCCCAAAGAGACCTGAGGCCTTTTTCCAGGGTAACTGTACACCGGGGGAAGGGAAATGGTCAGACACTTGGGGGACTATTGGACACTGGCTCTGAACTAACACTGATCCCAGGGGATCCAAAATATCACTGTGGCCCTCCAGTAAGAGTAGGGGCTTATGGAGGTCAGGTGATCAATGGAGTTTTAGCAAAGGTCCGACTCACGGCAGGTCCCGTGGGTCCTTGAGTCCATCACCCTGTTCCAGAATGCATAATTGGGATACATACACTTAGTACTTGGCAGAATCCTCACATTGGTTCCTTAACCTGTAGTGTCAGGGCTATTAGGGTTGGAAAGGCCAAATGGAACCCATTAGACTTGCCTTTACCTGGTAAAATAGTAAGCCAAAATAGCATAACATTCCTGAAGGAGCTGCAGAGATTAGTGCCATACCAAGGACTCGAACGATGCAGGGGTGATGGTCCCCACCACATCTCCATTTAATTCTCCCACTCGGCCTTTGCAGAAGACAGATGGGTCTTGGAGAATGACCCTAGATTACAGTACACTGAATCACGTTGTGGCTCTTGATTGCAGTAGCTGTACCAGATGTGGTTTGCTTGCTTGTGCCGATTAACGCATCTCCTGGTACTTGGTGTGCAGGTGTTGATTTGGCAAATGCCTTCTTCTCCATACCTAGCCATGAGGCCCATCAGAAACAATTTGCTTTCAGCTGCCAAGGCCAGCCATTCACCTTCACTGCCCTACCTTGGGGTTATAGTAACTGCAGCCCTGGGTCACAACTCAGTTTGCGGGGATCTTCATTGCCTTTCTCTCCCACAAGGTATCAAACTGGTCCATTTAATTGATGATATTGTGCTGATTGGACCAAGTGAGCAGGAGGCAACAACCACTCTGGATTTGTTAGTAAGGCATTTTCAAACTGGAGGATGGGAAATAAATCCAACTAAAATTTAAGGTCCTTCTACCTCAGTGAAAATTCTAGGAGTCCAGTGGTCTGGGGCATGTAGAGATATTCCTTCTAAGGTAAAAGATAAGTTGTTGCATGTGGCTCCTCCTACAACCAAAGAGACACAAAGCCTAGTGGGCCTATTTGGATTTTGGAAGCAACGCGTTCCTCACTTAGGTGTCTTACTCCAGGTCGTTTACCAAGTGGCTTGGAAAGCTGCTAGTTTTGAGAGGGGCCCAAAACAAGAGAAGGCTCTGCAACAGGTCCAGGATGCTGTGCAGGCTGCTGTACCCCTGGGGTCACATCATCCAGCAGATCCAATGGTACCTGAAGTGGCAGCGGCAGGTAGGGATGCTGTTTGGAGCCCCTGCAGGGCCCCATAAATGAATTGCAACAGAGGCCTTTAGGATTTTGGAGCAAGGCCCTGCCATCATCTGCAGACAACCACTCTCCCTTTGAAAAACAGGTCTTGGCCTGCTATTGGACCTTAGTGGAAACCAAACGCTTGACCGTGGGACACCAGATTACCATGCGCCCTGAGCTGCCCATCATGAGCTGGGTATTATCTGATCCACCAAGTCATAAAGTTGGATATGCACAGCAACAGTCCACCATTAAATGGAAATGGTCATATGTGATTGAACCAGTGCAGGTCCAGAGGGCACAGGTAAGTTACATGAAGAAGTTACCCAGATGCCCATGGCTCCTACTTTTGCTATCTTCCCTTCTGCCTCCCAGCATGCACCTGTAGCCTCATGGGATGTACCATATGACCAGCTGTCAGAGGAAGAGAAAGATAGGGGCTGGTTTATGGCTGGTTCTACAACACCTGCAAATGGACAGCTGCAGCATTACAGACCCTTTCTAGGACATCCCTGCAGCACAGTACTGAATGGAAATCTTCACTGCGGGCAGAACTTTGGGCAGGGTACCTGGGCCTGCATTTTGCCTGGAAGGAGAAATGGCCAGACGTGTGACTGTGTACTGATTCATGGGCTGTAGCCAGTGGTCTGGCGGGATCGTCAGGCACTTGGAAGGAACATGACAGGAAAATTGGTGACAAAGATATCTGGGGAAGAGTCTATGGGGAGATCTCTCCATATGGGCAAGGGATATAAAAATATTTATATCCCATATAAATGCTCACCGAAAAATAATGTCAGCAGAAGAGGATGTTAACAATCAACTGGATAGGATGACCCATTCTGTAGATAGCGGTCAACCTCTTTCTTCAGCTACCCCTGTCATTGCTCAATGGGCTCATGAACAGAGTGGCCAGGGGGCAGGGATGGAGGATATGCAAGGGTGGAGGTTAGCATCATGGTCTCCCACTCACCAAGGCTGATCTGGCTACAGCCACTGCTGGATGCCCAGTATGACAGCAGCAAAGACCAACACTGAGTCCCCGATATGGCACCATTCCCTGGGTGATCAGGCTGTGACCTGGTGGCATGTTGATTATATCAGACCACTTTCATTGTGGAAAGGACAGTACTTTGTCCTTACTGGCATAGACAGTTATTCAGGAAATGGATTTGCCTTCCCTGCATGTGATGCTTCTGCCAAAACTACCACCTGTAGATTTATAGAATGCCTTATCCACTGTCATGGAATTTCACACAGCATTTCCTCTGACCAAGGAACACATTTTATGGCCAAAGAATTGAGGCACTGGGCACATGCGCATGGAATTCACTGGTCTTACTCTGTTCCTCACCATCCAGAAGTGGCTGGATTGACAGAAAGGTGGAATGGTCTTTTGAAGACACAGTTACAGTGTCAGCTAGGTGGCGACAGCTTTCAGGACTGGGACAAGGTTCTTCAAAAATGCTTTGAATAAGCGTCCACTCTATGGTTCTGTGTCTCCCATAGCCAGGATTCGTGGGCCCAGGAATCAAGAGATGGAAGTGGGAATGGCACTGCTCACCATTACCCCTAGTAATCCACTAGCAAAAGTTTTGCTTCCTGTTCGCATGATCTTATGCTCTTAAAAGTCTTAGTTCCAGAGAGGGGAAGGCCTGTACCAGGAAGCACAACAATGATACTGTTGAATTGGAAGCTAAGACTCCTCCCTGGTCGTTTTGGTCCCTTCATGCCTCTGAGTAAACAAGCTAAAAAGGGAGCTACAGTGTTGGCAGGGGTGACTGACCTAGACTATCAAGGGGAACTTGTACTATTGCTCCACAATGGAGGAAAGGAAGAATATTCTTCAAGTGCAGGAGATCCCTTAGGGTGTCTTGTAGTGTTATCATGCCCTGTTATTAAAATCAGTGGGAAACTACAACAATCCAATCCAGGCAAGATGACAAATGGTTCAGAACCTTCAGGAATAAAGGTATGGGTCACCTCAGCAGAGAAAGAACAAAGACCTGCTGAGGTACTTGCTACAAGGGAATACAGACTGGATAGCAGAAGAAGGTAGTTCTAAATATCAGCTACAATCCCAGAATCAGTTACAGAAGCTAGGATTGTGATTGTGATTGTAATAGTTCTCTACTAATATGCTTCCTATGTAATATATTGACAGGGTTAATGTTGGTTCTTAAGTACTGTTAAACTTATGTTATAACATTCAAATTATGAAATGTTTGGAGTAAGCACCACTCAAAGAAATCTTGTCTTCTACTCTGGGGGGAATTAGTGCATTTTCATTTGTACACTGGATAGTTGTAACATGTGAGCATAATTATGAACTTGTCTTTGCATCTGGAGTCTATGGTTTAAGGGAATGTGTCTGCTTGTCAAGTTTACAATGGGTGGATTTTGATAGTTAACTGATTATGTTAACTTGAGTAAGAAACATCCAACTAAATTGGATCAACCTAGTTCTGGATGTGGCTGAAGGGAATCACTAAAGACAGAAGACCACCCTGGGTGTGAGTGACAGCAACCAACAGACTTGTAGCCTGAATGGAATAAAAGAGAAACAAAGAAGGAAGGTCTGTTTCTGTTTCTTCGGAGGAGCTCAGTCTTCATCTTCGCCTTGGACATCATCCGGCTTCCAGCAGACTTCAGCCTCCTGATGCGGACTCACAGGGGACACTACAGTGAGCGCCAGGCCTTCGACTGGGTCCTTCTGATCTCCAGTGCACAGGCAGGCCTTTTGCATTTTTCACACCTGACTCTGTGGGCGGCCATTGTAAGCCAATGTTGTAAATTTTTGTATATCTCGCATTAAATCTGTTTCTCTCTTAAGTACTGACTTATCCCCCACCCTGGGTTTCCAGATTTTCATGTTCAGACTGGAACTATACCACTGGCTCTTCTGAGTCTCTAGCTAGCAGATGGCAGTTTGTAGGACTTCATAATTGCCTGACTCAGTTCTTCATAATTGCTCTCATATACTCATACATCCAGTTGGTTCTCTTTTTCTGGAGTTAACTAACACAGTGGCTCAGGAAAATTTTGCCATATTCACTTCTTTTTAATTTGCTTACATCTAGGTCTTGGTAACATGAGAGAAGTATGATATCAATTCTTCACACCATCAACCAGTTGATATTGAATGCTAGATTTGTAAATAACTTTTTTTTTTCTTGTGTTGCTGGGGATGGAATCCAGGTCCTGTGCATGCTACTCAAGTGCTCTACACAGAGCTACACCCCAGCCTTTTTATTTTTTATTATAAGGCAAGTTCTTCCTAGGTTGACCAGGCTAGGTTTAAATTTGTGATTCTCCTGTCTCAGCCTCCCAAGTAACTGGGATTACAGGCATGTACCACCATGGCTGGCTAGGAAAAGTTTAATAAGGTTTAATGATTTTCAGTGAGCATTTGAAAATACTTTAATTTTATTGAAATCATTTTGAATAAAAGATTTAATATTCCTGAACTAAAACTTGTATTTTCACCCTTTAATTTTAAAGTGTTGCTGATTCAGAATATTTTAGAAGAGAAATAATTTCATGAAAATATAAATTTTTTTCAGTGTTGGGGATCCAGCCCAGAGGCTCACAGCTCACAATGCTGTGTGCCCAAGAGTCCCTTAGCAAGCTGCCAAACTAAAAGGATTTGTGCCCTGGAGGGGTGGGCCTAGGCCAGAGTTCATTGGCAGGTGCAGGGCCATTCCCCTGCCCCTCCTGATCACTGCTTCTGCTTACCTCGACCATTCTGGCTGTTTCGTTTCTATGTCTGAACCAAGCAGGGTCCATGAGGGACGGTGTGTCCACGGTGGTGGGTGAGGACAGACATCTTCAATACTGTGTGTGCCAAAAGGCCGAATGCTGGTGGCAGGTCCACGGAGCACAGCAGAGTCTGTCCTGAGACATGAAAGTCTGTGAGGGTCTCTGGTCGGTGGGCAGTTTGGGTCTGTGCTTTGGCTAACACATCGCAGCACTTCCCAGCACCGACATATAACTGGCACGTTTCCAGCAGAAAACAAAAGACAAACGTGAAAAAGTCTAGAAAAAAAATTGGTAAAAGCCCCTCCCTGCCAAAAAAACCCCAAAATGCCAGGGGCTCATGCATGCTAAGCACATACTCTACACACTCTACACACACTGAGCTAAACCCCCAGTCCATAAAAATACTTTAGATCTATGATATTTTTGCCTTAATATATATATATATATATAGATAGATATAGATATAGATGAAAATATATTTAAATTTATACAACTGCATTTTATGTTTTAGTCCTTTAGGCCATTAGTGACAGTAGAATATTATGTAACATTTATTTATTTATCTATCTGTCTGTCTATCTATTTATTTATTCATACTGGGGAGTGAACTCACAGCTTTTGCTCTGAGCTACATCCCAGACTTTTTTTTAAATTTTGAGACAGGATCTTGCTAAATCACTAAGTTGTCTCAGGCTGGGCTTGCATTTGTAACCCTCCTGCCTCAGCCTCCAATGGTTCTGGGATTACATGCATGCGCCACATCTGGCTTTTGAAAAATCTTTATCATCACATTTATGTAACATATTTTTGCTGAAAAAAAAGGAGAGGAAAAAAAATAAATTCTGTGAGCTTAAATGTATCATTTAAATAAAATGTAGCTAATAAGTACACTTGTCTTTGTTTTATTCCATATCCAAACTGCCCAGCCAGCAATACATCTTATAAAATAATGAAATATAAAATAATATATAAATAATTTAATATAAATAAAATAATGAAAATAGAATATAAAATAATATATATAAAATAATGAAATTCAGTCATCTTTGATATTTGGCCTATTTCATACGTGCTAAGAGCTGTGTCCTGTGGAGGCCTGACATTTTTGTTAGCACCTGACAAGTGTACATACTTACCACCTGTGTTAACTACTTAGAGCTCAGCATAGCAGCAAGCATTTTTCACAAGATATTTTTTTGAAGCAAAACATTTTATCGGCACATTTTAGATATACATAATGATCACGTTCATCATAGGGAATTTGCACCTGTACAGGATACATCTTGCTGCTTCTTTTTTCCCCATCCCCTCTTCAACCTCTCTTCCTCTTCTTATTTATAAAAGCTTTGTTTCCATTTTTTCCTTCTTTCTTTTTTTTTCTTGTACTTTCTTTCCTCCCCCCTCTCTTGTTCCGCTTCCCATTTGAACATTTTCTTCCTGTTTTCCAATCTCTATTATACAATTTAGTCCTTATTTCCACTTTTGGTTTCTCACAACAGAGAAACAATGTGGTATTTAAACATGTGTGTTCATTTTATTTCACTTAGGAATATAGTCTCAAGGTCCATCCAGTAAGCTGGAAGTGTCTCAAGGTCATCCTTCTTTATGGCAGAGTAGTACTCCATTGTATAAAAAACACAACTTTATCCATTCGTTGGTTGATGGTCATTCAGGCTGTTTCTAAGATTTAGCTTTTATACATTGTGCCACTATAAATATGGGTGTAGATATATCACTGTGGTATGATGCTTTTAATTGTTTTGGGAAGATACCAAGAAGAGGAATACCTGGGTCAAATGGAACCTCTAGTTTTTGGTTTTTTGAGGAATCTCCACACTGATTTCCACAGAGGTTGCACCAGTCTGCACTCCCACCAACAGTGGACAAGGGTTCCTTTTTCCCCATATCCCCTCCAGGATTTGTTATTGGTTGATTTCTTTTTTTTTTTTTTTGGTACCAGGGATCGAACTTGGGTCCTTGTGCTTGCAAAGCAAGCGATGGAACCACTGAGCTAAATCCCTGGCCCATGGTTGATTTCTTGATAACAGCCATTCTTTCTGGAGAGAGATGGAATCTCAGCATTGTTTTCATTTTCATCTCTCCAATAACCAATGATGCTGAACATTATTTTTCATATATATATTTGCTGCTGCTTCTTCATCTGAGAAGTGTCTATTCATTTCAGATGCCCATTTTTGGATTGGGTCTTTGAATTTGGGAGGGTGTGAATTTTTTAGTTCTTTATATATTCTAGGTAGTAGTCCTTTCTCTGAGGAATAGCTGACAAAAGTTTTTTCCACACTATGGGTTGTCTCTTCACTCTGTTGGTGGTTTCTCTTGCTGGTACACAAAATATCTTACCACTCAGAACACTCCTGAAACATTGATTCCCTCATTTCAAAGATGAGGATAAACTAAATTTCAGAGATTAGATAGCAATTAGCCAGATGTGGTCGTGCACACCTGTAATCCCAGCACTCTGGGAGACTAAGACAGGAGGATTGCAAGTTCAAGATCAGCTTCCTGGCCAATTTAGTGATTTAATGAGACCCTAGCTCAACATAAAAAAGGGCTGGGAATGTAGCTCAGTGTGAACACCCTGGTTCCAATCCCTAGTACTACCAAAAAAAAAAAAAAAAAGAAAGAAAGAAAGAAAAAGAAAAAGATTAGATAGCAAGAATGCTCCAGCCTGTAGAGTCATCCTGAAATCTTTCTGGTTCCCTTCTTTTTTCACTCTGCCTGGACTAATTGCATATTTGTGAGATACAGAGTACAAAGTCCCAGTGAGATCAAATCATTATTTAATAAGCGTTTGTCTGGCCCCTGTTAGTAGACAGGCTGCTCTGCAAGTGCATGAGGAATTCAGCAAATGTCAGCCTGCTCCCGTGCCAAAAACATAAAATAACAAAGAAAGCAATGCAAGCAGTCATAGTTATGACCCTGTTGCTACGAGAATACTCATTAAGGTCGGAGAATAGCCCAAAGTCCTGCATTTAACTGCTTGTTAGTGTCACATATGATTCACACATCCGGTGCATGGCCTGTGTGCTCTTATCTGGCTCAGCCACCTTAAGTGGCAGGACGGAAGCCGAGGCCTTGGAGAAGGAAGGATGAACAGAGCTGTGTTAGAGCTTCACAAAGGGGCCAGAGTGGTGGCACACATGTAATTCCAGCACTCAGGAGGTTGAGGTGAGAGGATCTCCATGAGTTTGAAGCCAGCCTGGGCCACATACATAGTGACTTCAAGGTGAGCCTGAATTATATAGGGAGACCCTGGCTCAAAAACAAACAAACAAAAGCTTCAGAGAGGTTCGGATGAGGCCCCAGAATGGCCATCAGGTTTAGCCTGTGTTGGTGATGGGTGGAGGGAGCTCTTTCTGACTAGTGCAGAAAAAGCTTTTTTTTTTTTTTAAAGATGCCAGCTGCCCATGCCCTTGCAGGAAGTGTAGGTTCATATGCAGGTCTGGGAGGACCTAGCACCCCACTTGCTGGCAACACTAGTGCTTCCTGGGAGTTAGATTCCCTTCTCTCTTTGTTCTTCCTCCAGCCTTTTGTCAGGACCACATGAAGACTGAAAATGATCCTGAGTCAGTACAGCTGTTTGGAAGCTGAACTCAGCAACCCTACTTGAGTAATGGCTCAGTTAACTTGGGGTGCCCAGATTTCTCCTGGGAGCCTTTTCACTGGCATTCCAAGGAAGGCCTAGGCTACGTCATTTTAAGAAATATTTTTTATTAATACATGTTTGCAGCACCTGATGTTTACATTCATTTCAGGGAGTAGGTACATATACTTAACATGCCTGGGCTCTTTTCATTCCTTCCTCCTCTCTCTCCATCTCTAGATCCGCTTTTCATTCATTTATAGTCCATATTTGTGACATATAATGATTACACTCACTGTGGGTAGCTTGTCCAAACACATGGTGCATCTTTAATCATATAGGTTACATATTTTATGTATCCATTCATCTGTTGATGGCCATATAGGCTGCTTCCAAGATTTAGCTATTATGAATTGTGTTGCTATGAACATGGGTATTCATGTATCACTGTAAGATGTCTTTTGAGAAGTTACTAGGAAGAATGCCTAGGTCAAATGGAATTCCTAGTTTTAGTTCTTTGAGAAATCTTCATGCTGATTTCTGTAGTGGTTGTACTAGTTTACATTCCCACCAGCAACATAGGAGGGTTCTTTTTCACTGCAGCCCTGCCAGCATTTGTTATTATTTGATTTCTTGATGATAGCCATTCTTTCTGGAGTAAGATGAAATTTCAGTGTTGTTTTAATTTGCATTTCTCTACTGGATAATGAAGTTGAATTTTTTTCATGTATTTATTGGCCATTTATATTTCTTCTGTGAAGTGTCTATTCATTTCGTTTGCCCATTTTTTGATTGGGTCTTTTATTTTGGGGGTCTAATTTTTTAAAGTTCTTTATATACTCTGGATATTAGTTCTCTGTCTGGGATACAGCTGGCAAAACTTTTTTCCTGTGGTGTAGGTTTTTTCTTCACTTTGTTCATTGCTTCTTTTGCTGTGCAGAAGCTTTTTAATTTGATATAATCCTATTTGTTGACTCTTGCTGTTACTGCTTGTGCAATTGGTGTTTCATTCAGAACATCCTTGCCTACACCTATGACTTCAAGAGTTTTCCCTTTTTTTTTTGGTACCGGGGATCAAACTCAGGACCTTGCATTTTCGAGGGAGGCAGTGGCACCACTGAGCTAAATCCCCTGCCACAGTTTTCCCTATTTTATCTTTCAGTGGGTTAAGTGTTTCTGCTTTAATATTTAGATCTTTGATCAATTTTGATTTTAGTATAGCACATGGTGATATATATGGGTCTCTGTTCAATCTTTTGCATGTGAATAGCCCGTTTTCCCAGCACTGTTGCTAAAGAGGCTATGTTTTTGGCCCCTTTGTCAATGATCAGGTGGTCAATATGTCTGGGTTGTTTCTGTGTGCTCTATTCTGTTCCATTGATCCACATGTCTGCTTTGCCACATCATTTCTTATACAAATATTGCAGGAGAGGACAATGTCTTCTCTCTACCTTTCCTTCTACTGGCTCAAAAATCTTCCAAGAGACTATAGGATTTACATGTGTTTTCTTTTTCATAAAGACTTGCTCTA